TGATTACTCAGTTTTTGTGCCAGTACTAAATGGTTTTCATTATTGCCATCTTATTCTTATTGTCTGGTTATGCTTCTCATACTCCTAATTACAATTTTTTTAGGGGAAGGGAAAGAGGGCTTTCCAGATATTCTGTGGCTGTTTTCCAGATCAATTTCTGAATTGTCTAACTAAATTAAGTGCTTTACTACTAACCAAAAGGATAGCAGTTCAAACTCACTCAGTGGACCTGTGGGAGAAAGGACTGCTTCCATGAAGAGAACTGTCAAGAAAACTGTCAGGACAGGGGCAGGCCTGCTCTGTCACATGGGGTTTCCATGAGTTAGAATCGGCCTGATGGCACTCAACAACAACAAAGAAAAATCCTACGTGAGCATTTTGTATAATTGCAATAACTTGGTGTCAGCATCTTAAAAAAACCAAAGCATAATAAGAAAAGCAGGAAATAAACACTGGTTAGAAATATTCAAGCCTTGAGTTGTTATACTAAAGGATGCTAGGGGGAGAATACTGAATGAGCCAGGGAGCATCAACAGAACACGGAAGGGTACACGGAGTCACTGTACCAAAAAGAACTGGCTGATAGAGAAAAACTTCATGAAACAACGTATGACCAGGAGGCAATGGTGATGAAGGAGGAAGTTCAACCTGCTCTGAAGGAATTAGTAAAAACAAGGCCCTAGGAATTTATGGAATATCAACTGACATATTTCACAAACAGATGCTGCCCTGGACAGCCTCACCAGGTTGTGCTAAAAATATCTGGCCAACTGACTGGAAGAGTTCTGTATTTATTCTCATTCCAAAAAATGTTGATCCAACAGAGTGTGGAAATTCTCTAACTATATCACTAATATCACATGCAAGCAACAACTTGCTGAAGATGATAAATAAAATGACTGAAACGGCACATCCGCAGACTACTGCCAGATGTGTAAGCTGGTTTTAGAAGAGTTTGTGGCACTAGGAACATCATAGCCAATGTCAGATAGATCTTGCCTGAAAGCAGAGAGGACCAGAGGTGTATCTAGTTGTGTTTCACTGAGCATGCAGAGGCTTTGACTGTGTGGATCACAGCAAATTATAGTAACTCTTAAGAAGAATGGGAATCCCAGAACACTTGGTTGTGCTCATGCAAAATCCATACTCGGACCAGGAAGCAATCATCAGATCAGAGCAGGGAAACACTGCATGGTTCGAAATCAGGAAAGGTGTACGTCAGGGATGTGTCCTGTCTCCATACCTTTTCAATCTATACGTGGAACAGATCATCTGGGCGGCTGGGCTATATGAGGAGGAACCAGGTGGCATCAAGATTGGTGGAAAACTCACCAACAACCTTATACATTATGCAGATGACACAACCTTGCTTGCTGAAATTTAGGAGTATCAGAAGCATTTGCTGCAGAAGGTCAAGGACTGTCTGCAGTCTTCAATAGAGATTGAAGTTTAACATCAAGAAGACAAAGATTCTCATCACTGGGCCAACTGACAGCACCATGATCGGTGGAGAAGAGATGACAGTACAGGCAGACATTCTTGAATTGGCGCATACGTTGATGTATATATTCGCGACAATAACAAATAAAATAAGTTACTATTTTAAAAATTCCACAGGGATGTAAATGTAAAGAAGAACTCCTAACGTTAACTAAGGACTTAAGTTAATAAAAGAGCTCTGGTGGCCTAGTGGTAAGGAGCTGTACTGTCAACTCAAAGTCATGTTGTTCGAATCCACCAGCTGCTCCAGATGGGCAGTTTCCTCCTGTGAGCTTTACTGCCTCTGAAAACCCACTCTGAAAAGAGTTTGCCATGAGTCAGTTCTAAGGGTACTAACAACATAGTAATAACAGTAGTAATATATTACTATTAATATGACCAAAGAGGATAGAAGGAGAATTGATGCCTTTGAGTTGTGGTGCTGGAGAAGAGTATTGAGAATACCATGGACTGCTAGGAAAACAAACAGATTCGTCCTGGAAAGGGTTAAATCGGGTGGCTCCTTGGAGGCAAGGATTCTGAGGCTCCGTCTGACATACTTTGGACATGTTGTGAGGAGAGACTGGTCCTTGGAGAAGGACATCATGCTTGGGAGGGTGGAGGGACAGCGCAGGAGGGGAAGGCCCTCTGTGAGGTGGATTGATTCAGTGACTGGGGTTATTGGGATGGGAGTGTCAGAGACAGTGCGATTGGCACAGGACAGAGCAGAGTTTAGGGCTGTTGTACATAGGGTCGCTATGAGGCGCA